AGGCTTAATGATTAATCAGACGGGAAGTAGAATATGTATTCATGTAGTAATACTGCTTGCAAACCAATGATGATAAGATGATGTTAGGGGGTAGGACTAGATAAGTCTAACTTCTTCCTACTCCATTCAAGCATGTACTAGGTATAAGTAAATTGAAAATATTTTTGTGGACATGTCTGGAATTATGTGTGATTACATACTGACTGTTGTTACATGTCTGAAAGAAAAAATAAATCAAATCAAAAATCAAATCAAACTAATAACGTTGTTATGCTTACTGACTCACTAGACACTGCCCACTGGAATACTTAAATGAGACATAGCTGACACTAATATTGTCATTAGATACGTACACATGCGCCTCTTCTGCAATGACAAGACAACAAAAAAACCTATTTAAATCTAATTAAGTGCAGTTTTAAATGATACACAGTAACTTTATTTCTGCAATTGCCTCTTATGGAACAGTTTATTTTTTTGTGTGTGTCATAACTACTTTGAAACATGTTGAGTGTAGAAGAAAATGTAAATAAGACAGTGTTAGACTTCAAAAGGGACAAAAAAGAAGACAAAGAATGAAGACCAAGAGAGAGACTTGCAAATAAACAGAGAGCGACTTGGAGGGAGAGAGATAGAACAAAACAGAGGGAGGGCAGCTGAGTGGGAGTGATGCATTCTGGGCAGGATGCCAGGGGTAAGATTAGTGATCGTCACTATGGTGACACAGAACTCTCTCTCTCTCTCTCTCTCTCTCTCACTCACATGCACACATACACAAACCATTTCATTTGTTATCTGAGATAGTGAAATGTACTGTAGAATCAAATTTTGAGTATATATTTCAGGATTATGCTTGAGAGCCAGCATGATGGTTTGGTGGTTGGCAAGAAGGTTCTGGGTTTGAGCCTCACGGATGTCTGGGGCCTTGCTGTGTGGAGTTTGCATGTTTTCCCTGTGCCTGCTGGGGTTTCCTCTGGGTACTCCAGCATCACCAAACAGTCCAAGTATATGCAGGTTAGGCTGCTTGGAATTCTGTAGGTGTGAGTGCTTATCTGTCTCTATTGTATTTGACAGCCCTGTGATAGATTGGTAACCAGTAAAGGGTATACCCTGCCTCACCCAGTATAAGCTAGGATTGGTTCCTGTGCCAAAAACATCTATAGGATAAGAAGTACAGAAGTATAATAGATGGAAGTATGACTGAAGCAGTTAATTATGTTTATTAATTTATTAGTGTGTGGTTATTACAATACATTCAGTAAATTGTGCAGACCAACCCTTACTTCTTTGTGAACACAGTTTTCAAGGTATAGGCCTACATCATTAATTTTAACCCTAACCCTATTTTTTGGTAGGGTGGCCATGTTGTTTAGTCAAATACAACAAACAAAGGAACTCTTCTTGCTGTCAGAAATCACTATGTTTTCTAGTGCTTGTGTCAGATACTGTATATCCACATACACTCCATGTCCTGATTGTAGTTATGTATAAAAGGGTATGTAGTCTGCATGCAAGTCCGCAACTGTCTGTGTCTCTCTCCTGGAGTATTATCTTCTTTCATCTGTGCAAAATCAGGAACATCTTGTCCCAAAGTGATGCTGAAAAACCTATCCATGCACTTGTTAATTCCTGGCTGGACTACTGCAGCCCTTTACTATCAGGATGTCCCACTACGTCCCTAAAAAACTCCAATTAATTCAAAATGCTGCAGCCAGAAAACTAGCAAGATAGGTCAGATATCTCCCATATTAGTTTCTCTCCACTGGCTTTTTGTAAAATCCAAAATAGAAGGAAAGAAAGCCACTTTCGGCTTTTCCCGTTTAGGGGTCACCACATCGAATTGTCACACTGACAACTTGCATGTTGACATTTGGCATGTGTTTTACGCTGGATGCCCTTCCTGACGCAACCCTGATTCGAACCTGGGCCGTAGCGGCAAGACCACTGCGCCTTAACCACTAGCCTACCAGGGACCTTTCTGTAAAATCCAAAATAGAATTTAAAATCGTTCTCCGAATGTTCAAAGCCCCTAATGCCAAGGCTCCATCGTACCTTAAAGACCTCATAGTGCTTTATCGTCCCAACAGAGCACTTCACCCTCAGAATGCAGATCTGCTTGTGGTTCCTAGAGTTAACAGAAATAGAATGGGAGGCAAGCCTTTAGCTATCAAGCTCCTCTCCTGTGGAACCAGCTCCCTGTCTCAGTTTGGGAGGCAGACATCCTCTTTACCTTTAAAATTAGTCTTAAAACTTTCCCTTTGATAAAACTTATAGTTAGATTGATATAAACTGTTCTATAATAAATTTTTATTGGTGTTGGTGATAATATAGTCAAAAATTGGCTGCACTGAAAACGACACCAATCAATGCATTGCTATCAGATGCCACCACTAAAGAGCAGGCAACTGCGGGGAGGATGCTGGAGCTCCTTTTCAGCTCCATAACATTCCTGGGGCATCAGGGACTACTACTAAAGGGGAATGCAAATCAGGATGTTATGACAGCTGATGGGGGAAAGGGTGCGTATTAATCTTGATCTGAGCAGCTGGCTGAAAAGGAGAGACAACTGGATGTCTAACAACATCCAAAATGAAATTTTGGAGCTGTCTGGCCATGTGAGCCAGAGACAAATAGTAGCTTTGGCATCCCAAAGCCACTTTTTTGGCTTAACTGCTGATGGAACCACAGATGTCACTGGTAAAGAACAGTTCTAATGCAATGTACAGTTTGTTGACGAGAACCTTGAAATTCATAACCTCTTTCTGGGCTTTTATACTGCCCCAGACACAAAAGCTGAGACACTATTTTTGTGCATCAAAGATATCTCTGTGTGTCTCAAACTGTCTATGGAGAAACTAAAAGGCTATTATTTTGATGGTGCCAGCAGTATGTCTGGGAGGTTCAAGGGGGTACAGGCAAAATTAAAAGAAAAGTCCCCAACTCTGTGTTTGTCCATTGCTCAAATCGCTTGCTGGATTTGGTATTACAGGAAGTGACAAGAGGAATATGCCTGGTTGCTGATACTCTGAACTATGTGCAGGGCATTACAGATGTTATCAGTGATTCAGTGAAGAGAAGGGCTTTATACCGCTCCCCATTTGGACATGGAGACATTCTAAATCTGCTTGGCCTGTGTCCAACTTGATGGTTCATCAGCGGTATCAAGTTTGCTCATCTGCTATGGGGAAATGCTACATACAGTACATTCAGGACTTTGGACAGTGACAATGCTGTCAAGGGGGAGACATGCGCCAAAGTAGCAGGATTGGGAATGATTGAATCAGCCAAACTTCTTTGCAAACAACTGAGCACACTGCATCAAGATGCCACCATCCACAATCTTGTACATCAAATAAATGAAAAACATTATGTTAAATGAGCTCCAAATATGAATATAAGCACAATGCTGCTCTGAAATAATCTTATGTTATTCTATCTATTAGATCACAGAGGTATCCAATGTGAGTAATTTATCCATAAGGATAAAGATAATGTTCTTCTTAGGCAAACTTATGAAAAATTTGAGTGTAGACACAGAGACACTGTCTATTGTTTGTTTAAATGGCTGAGGCTCAGGAGGTAGAGTGGGTCATCTCCTAACTGGAAGGTTGGCAGCTCAATTACTGGCATCTCCAGTCCACATATGGAAGTGTCCTTGAGCAAGACACTGAACCCCCAGTTGCTCTTAGTGATGTCATTAATGTGTGAGTGCTTGGGAGTGCGGACGGGTGAGTGGACAAATAGTGTGAAAGTGCTTTGAGTGTCCTACAATGCATAGAAAAGTGCTATACAAGTATAAGACCATTTACCATTTATTTTGACACTAGTGCCACAATGACAGTGACACCATGGTTAATCTTGAGAAAAGCTCACTTTTAATCGTCTAGCTTTGTCACCTTTTGCTACATGGTCAGCTTTCACCTCAAGCTGTCCTAGTTGAGATCATGATGACATTCATATCTGACCATTTTGGAAAAAACTAAAACAAAAAAAAACAAATATGCAGTAGATCAAAAGTCCTAAAATAAATATATACAATTAAAACTTTCTATCAGATATCCCTGATGATCACAATATTTTCTTATATTCCAACCAATAATCAGTGTGTTTGGTGGCACCCTCTTCCTCTTAGGAGTGCCCAGAACTCCCCAAACACCTGTCTGTTATATATTATATGCATTCTGTTATATATTTTATGTCTGAGCTACATGCAATATGTGTTATTTACTTTTTTAAGTGCAGCATGGTGGATTAAGTTGAGGTCATGCATATTTTTTTGTCTATATATATAACATTAAGCAATCTTGTGTTGCAGGTTGTATTGTGCCATTGTATTCACTAGATGGTACTGTTGTTCTAATCTTTTGCATATTGACGGTCTTCCAATGCACAGGCTCTGTCCATCACTCTGTGGTCTTTGTGAGTGTGTGTGTCTGACTGTGTAAAATTCTTGCTGCCTCTGCCTGAGCCTCCCCATGTATGCTATGCATCTGACTATGGTCAAAGGGGTTCACATACCTGAGGATGGAGATGCAGAGACCAAACCATATGTAACCATAGAAAGGCTAGTCAATCAGACTTTCTTTCTGATACAAGTAGGCTGCTTTCTCTTATTGGGTTTAAGAAGTGATAACCATGACATTTATACTCCAGACTGGAGCTATTTGGACAGATGCATTCTTTGTTCTTCAGGTTCTGTGCTTGAGCATACAGTAGTCAATTTGAAAGAAAACCAGAGAAATGCATTTCCTGTTGAAAATGTGTGTGGATGCTGATATGCTGAAGGATCTCCCTGAAAATGCCTGAAATCAATTGCTGAACCAGCTGAAGGATGAGAAGAAATGGCTGACGTTCTTTGTTGAAATAGCTGAAGGATGAGATGCAATGCTGAACAACTGAACATCTAGATACCAGAACAGTATTTGTAGCTGAAAGTATGCAGGAGTTATTAACCGCCAAAAATGTTGAAAAAAGCTGAATTTAAAATTAACTTAATGAACTTAAAAAGTATAAAGGTTATAAAAATAAACACAAACAGGAATGTCCTTAAAATGCTGAACATTTAGATACCACAATGGTGTTTGCAGCTGAAAGTATGCTGAAGTTATTAAGATGTGAAAATTTTGCCCATTCATTTGAATGGGGCAAAATTTGGAATGGTATTTCTAGGTGAAAGAATGCAGGAGTTAAATGCCAAAAAAACGGACAGAAGACACAGATATGTCTTAATTGCACTGCATTTTATTGACCACCAAATGGCACTCCAGGACTGTGTCATTGATCTGCAGCATTAGGATGACTCAGCACTTTGAGCTCCCATTGACTTCTATTATTAAAAAAAAGCTGAATATATTAAAAAGTATAGGTCTAGCTGAAAGCATGTGGGAGGAGATGAGGGCCAAAAAACGTATGGAAGAAACAATAATAAGCAGCCACACAATAAATAAGAGGAAAACAATAGTGTGGATGCTTGTCAGCATCCACACAATAATAGCCACTGTATTGAAGTACTAAGTCTCAGCTTTTAGTGGGTTTGCACAGTATAGAAAGAACTGTGTAGATGATATAGACCTTATATTGCTCAAATTACAAGAGTTGAAAAGTAACTGGACACTTGACTATTGGGCAGCTGTGTGTGTGAGTTGACTGAAAGTTTATTTGCCATATAAGCCAGTTTAAGACACGGTACCCATGAATCTGAGGGCTGCTAAGAAATTCTCTTTTATGGTGTTCAGATATAGAGCTGCTGTACATGAAATTCCCAGCAAGCAGGACCTAGCCAGTTTTATGCAATATCCAACATCATGTGAGATAGACACTAACAACATGGGAAATTATAAATAATATATGAGGTTGTTTATAACAATGTGGTTCACAGTGAGGATGAATTGCAGGTGGTTATGTTAGCTCATGCTGCTAAACTGTATCTTCTCTCTACTAGTTCAAAATAAATGTTGTATCAGTGTGCAGTTTACATGCATCATGCCCTACTCAACAGTGACTGGTTTAAACACTGTGTACAATTCTATGTCCAACCAGGTAAAATTGCCTATACATGTTATACCCCAGTTCTTTTGTTGGACAGATCTGAGTAAGGAAGGAGTCCATCTTTCTTGATTTTAGTGCTGGTTTATTTAAAAAAAATATATAAATGAAGATTACAGAACACAATCCGGGTGGCTCCCTTCAGACAAGCTGCTGGAGAAGAAGCTCCCAGAAACACAGAGCCTAATACATTTATCAGTTTTTGGGCTAACCCCTTACACATATGAAGTCCGTCCAGCAGACTCCACCGCTTATCTAGAGCTCCACAGGCTTGGAGCAGCTGCGTGTTACCTAGTCATAACAAAATGCGGTAGCTCAATGTGTGTGGATGTTGTTACATGGTGTGTAACTAAAACAATCATTCAGACATAAATCTGACACAAGATTAATACAAGAAAACAATTGGTGTCATGGTTTACTGCTAACCTTGAAACAGAGCAGACTAGAGCAGACTTTGAATCTTACTAAATTGCATTACTAATACATTAAAGTCTAAGACATTAATGTCTAATACTCATCTGACTAATTTATTCATTTCTAACACTTTGCCAGTTACACAACTCCAGGCTTTATTTGTAAACCTAAAATTGCAGACAAAAAAAAGCAATACTATATCAGAGAAATATCAGAGGTAGTTGGGTACATTCTAGAAAAAGAGGTGTGCACATGAGGACTAGGAAATGGCAAACAACCTGGTAGAGTGCGAAGCATAGGTCCCTGGATGAGAGCAAAAAAATCAACTGCAAAGTGAACAACAACCTCTTTGTGGCTGCAAAGCAAGTCAAGAATGCTCTCCAGGATGTAGGCATACAGGTTTCCTTGTCAATCCATGATCAAAACCTCAGGAATCACCATAAGATGTAAACCTCTGGTAAACCTCAAAAGCAGAAAGGCCAGTTTGCAGTACCGCAGTTCGCAGGTCGCAGTTCATCAGTTCATCGAACAAAATTTGATGAACAGATGAAACAAAAACCAACCCCTATCAAAATTATGGGAAGAGGAAAGTTTGGTAAATGAAAAAGGGAATAGCTCATGACTCAAAGCATGGCACATCATCTGTCAAACATTTTGGTGCTTCTGTTATGGGCATGTATGGTTGCCAATGGAACTGGCACACGGCAGTTATTGAATATGGTGATGTCATGCAGTAGCATGCATGCAAAGGTATACAGGAACATTCTCTGTGCTCAGATTAAGTCAAATACATGTAAACTCATTGGATGGCATTTCATTATTCAGCAGGCCAAAAGTCCCAAACACTAAAGCAAAATTGTTTACTAGCAATAGCTGGGAAATGGATAAATCATTAACCAGAGGTCATCTGGGTATCTGAGATTCTATGAAACATTTGTCTGGTCTCCAAATTTAGGATGCAGAGTTTAAAGTGGATTACTTTGCTCATTTATGTCTATGTGTTGAGACATGGTAATGTTTCCTGTGGAAGTAATGAATTAGAGATGCCAAAAGTACTACTGCTGCCTCAACTCTCCATTCAGGTTTTACAAACCAAATAGGAACTGTGATAATGCTTTCAATGTCAGCTTAACCTTATGGCTGCTAAATTTTCTTCTCTTTTTCACTTATGTGGCCGTGGTTCTCGCTGTCAGAGTGATGTAGACAGGTTGACCTGGAAAGACCGTCTTCCTGGATACTTCATCAACATATCATCTATCCTCTTTATGGTTAGTACATTAAAATCAATTTAAGGCTCTACTTAGAATCACACATTTCCCCATATAAAAAATAAGCATGTATATGACAGAGTTAATGTACATAAATGGCTATATTATTGAGTGATATGAAAGTGTTCCTTGAAAAAACTTGTTTCACCTCTCATCCAAGAGGCTTCATCAAAACTGATGAAGCCTCTTGGATGAGAGGTGAAACATCTTAACCTAAAAACCGAGTCCAGTTGATTTTTCAGCTTACTATGACCTGGATGACTGAGAATCTGCATGGACACAAAGAAAGTGTTCCTTGAAATATTAATTCTAGCAACTGCATTATGACTATCAGACAAATATGGCTGAGTAGTGACTAATTTATTTTTCTTCTTTATTTTATTTCTTCCCTCCTAGTTTGCACTGACATGCTCCGTGGTTTTCAGTGTCATCATGTACCGCATCACAATGGTGGCTCTTATGTCAGTGAGCTCTGACCCAGCAATCAAGGCTAATGTTCGGGTGACAGTGACATCCACCTCTGTCGTCATCAGCCTTGTGGTTATTCTGATTCTTGACGAAATCTATGGAAGTGTGGCAGCGAAGCTGACTGAACTAGGTACAGATATATTATTTTATCAGTACAGTACAAAGACATTAACAACATTCATTCAGCTGATTTATTAAAGAAAGAGATTAGTATTGCTTGCTGTTAGATCAGAAGGGGATTGACCATATGTCATTAACAGTTTGTTTTCCAGGTACTGATTGAGGTTGTCATACTTGTGAATGAATGAATGAATCAATTCAATTCAATTTATTTGTATAGTGGCAATTCACAACAACAGGGCAGTTTACATAATCAGGTCTAGACCTAACACTCTTATAACGAAAACCCAACCCTGTGAGCAAGCACTTGGCCACAGTGGAGAGGAAAAACTCCCTTTAACTGAAGAAAGCTCTGACAGACCCCAGTTCTTGGTGTACAGCCTTCTGCCTCAACAGGTTGGGGTGAGTGGATAGAGGAGAAAGAAAAGCATCAGGACACAACAGGTTGTAATGGTACCATGAAATATCAAAGGAATGCAACATAACATGCTAAATACCTTTCTACCCCCCATCACTGTCCTACTAGGAGTATACTATACAATACTATATAGTATTCACAATATACATATACACAGTACACCTATATATACACAGCATACACACATATACAGTACATACATACAGTATGCACACACAGTCACAAGAGAAAGTAATGGCATTGTGCAGTCTCCTGGTTTTCTACATAAATTGGTCATCAAATGTGATCTGATGTTCACCAAAGTAACAATTGTCAACAAATATTTCTAAGCTGATAAAACAGTTGTGCATGCTCAGTCACGCAAACAGTCATGCTCTTTTGTGTCTTTTTTTGAAAACACCCATTAAACATACAAAGTGATAGTAGAAAAAGTAATGGCAACAGTGTTTCAATGACTGGTTGAAAACCACAACAGTAACCTCAGTCAAGTGCTTCCAGTAGCTATGGGTTACAGATGCACAAAGTTCAGAATAAATTATGGACCATTCTTCCTTACAGAACTGCTTCAGCTCAGCCATATTTTTAGGATGTCCAGTGCGAATGGCTCTCAAAGTTTAGTCATTGTTCCGCTGCATCACCCATCTTGTTCTGAGCTTCAGCTTGTAGACAGCCAGCCACCCTGACATTATCCTGGAGGATACCTTGATAAACTTGGAATTCATTGGCCCCTCCACAATGGCAAGTGGTCCAGGTCCAGAGGCAGCAAAGCAGCCCCAAATCATGATGCTCCCTTTACTGTACATCACTGTTGGGATGATGTTTTCATGTTGGTATACGATTCTTGTTTTACACCATTAGTAGTGTTGTGTGTTCTTCCCAAACAATTCTACCTTCACTTCATTTGTCAACAAGACATTTTCACACTAGTGTTATGGCTGGTCAAGGTAGTCTTCGGCAAACTTCATGAATGCTGCAATGTTGTTTTTGGAAAGCAGAGAGACTAAACAAAACAAAACCAAGATGGCGGTACATGGACAATGCAAGGCTCAGCATCTTCCCAGATTTTGCAATTTTGCCGTGATTCTCTTGCTCATTTTTTGCCTGTTCATACAGAACAGCTTCACCTTGATATCCTACACCCGGAAAGATTTTTTGAATATTGGTTTACACCACTCCAACAGCTTTATCTCCAGTCTTCAACTCACTTCTGAAATCTCCAGAACGCTGGAGTCTATGCACCCAACCTGGCTGGGTGGAAGCGCTCACAGGTGGTGTCGGGATCGTAAACAAAGGTGTGGAAAGCACTGAGGAGTTGGAGCTAAGCTAAACACCCAACCGGGCTGGGTGGAAGCGCTCACAGGTGGTGTCAGGATTGTAAACAAAGGCGTGGAAAGCACTGAGGAGTTAGAGCTAAGCTAAGTCTAACACCACATTGGCTTTCTCTACCCAATTTTCCTCACCAATGTGCAATCATTGGTGAACAAGATGGATGAGATATGCCTTCGTATCACCAACAGTAAGAGACTTATGGACTGCAATGTTATGATATTCATGGAAACCTGGCTAAACAGCAGATAGATTGGCAGATGACTCCGGTAAGGCCAGAGGCAGAGGATTGTGCATTTACAGTGCCTTGCGAAAGTATTCGGCCCCCTTGAACTTTGCGACCTTTTGCCACATTTCAGGCTTCAAACATAAAGATATAAAACTGTAATTTTTTGTGAAGAATCAACAACAAGTGGGACACAATCATGAAGTGGAACGAAATTTATTGGATATTTCAAACTTTTTTAACAAATAAAAAACTGAATAATTGGGCGTGCAAAATTATTCAGCCCCTTTACTTTCAGTGCAGCAAACTCTCTCCAGAAGTTCAGTGAGGATCTCTGAATGATCCAATGTTGACCTAAATGACTAATGATGATAAATAGAATCCACCTGTGTGTAATCAAGTCTCCGTATAAATGCACCTGCACTGTGATAGTCTCAGAGGTCCGTTTAAAGCGCAGAGAGCATCATGAAGAACAAGGAACACACCAGGCAGGTCTGAGATACTGTTGTGGAGAAGTTTAAAGCTGGATTTGGATACAAAAAGATTTTCCAAGCTTTAAACATCCCAAGGAGCACTGTGCAAGTGATAATATTGAAATGGAAGGAGTATCAGACCACTGCAAATCTACCAAGACCTGGCCGTCCCTCTAAACTTTCAGCTCATACAAGGAGAAGACTGATCAGAGATGCAGCCAAGAGGCCCATGATCACTCTGGATGAACTGCAGAGATCTACAGCTGAGGTGGGAGACTCTGTCCATAGGACAACAATCAGTCGTATACTGCACAAATCTGGCCTTTATGGAAGAGTGGCAAGAAGAAAGCCATTTCTTAAAGATATCCATAAAAAGTGTTGTTTAAAGTTTGCCACAAGCCACCTGGGAGACACACCAAACATGTGGAAGAAGGTGCTCTGGTCAGATGAAACCAAAATCGAACTTTTTGGCAACAATGCAAAACGTTATGTTTGGCGTAAAAGCAACACAGCTCATCACCCTGAACACACCATCCCCACTGTCAAACATGGTGGTGGCAGCATCATGGTTTGGGGCTGCTTTTCTTCAGCAGGGACAGGGAAGATGGTTCAAATTGATGGGAAGATGGATGGAGCCAAATACAGGACCATTCTGGAAGGAAACCTGATGGAGTCTGCAAAAGACCTGAGACTGGGACGGAGATTTGTCTTCCAACAAGACAATGATCCAAAACATAAAGCAAAATCTACAATGGAATGGTTCACAAATAAACATATCCAGGTGTTAGAATGGCCAAGTCAAAGTCCAGACCTGAATCCAATCGAGAATCTGTGGAAAGAACTGAAAACTGCTGTTCACAAATGCTCTCCATCCAACCTCACTGAGCTCGAGCTGTTTTGCAAGGAGGCATGGGCAAAAATTTCAGTCTCTCGATGTGCAAAACTGATAGAGACATACCCCAAGCGATTTACAGCTGTAATCGCAGCAAAAGGTGGCGCTACAACGTATTAACTTAAGGGGGTTGAATAATTTTGCACGCCCAATTTTTCAGTTTTTTATTTGTTAAAAACGTTTGAAATATCCAATAAATTTCGTTCCACTTCATGATTGTGTCCCACTTGTTGTTGATTCTTCACAAAAAATTACAGTTTTATATCTTTATGTTTGAAGCCTGAAATGTGGCAAAAGGTCACAAAGTTCAAGGGGGCCGAATACTTTCGCAAGGCACTGTATGTTAACAAAGCTTGGTGTACAAACTCTGTCATCACTGAGAAACACTGCTCAGCTAACTTGGAATTTCTTATGGTTAAGTGTAGACCTTTTTATCTGCCTAGGGAATACACTTTGACTATAATAATTGGAACCTATATTGCTCCGGATGCTAATGCCAAGCTTGCTATAAACAAACTTCATGCGGTCATTAGCAAACAACAGACTGCACACCCAGAGGCTGCATTTATTGTTGCGGGTGATTTTAATCACTCCAACCTAAAGTCAGTGCTCCCTAAATTACAACAGCATGTTTCCTGCCACACTAGAGGAAATAAAACTCTGGACCATGTTTACGCAAACATGGCTGCTGCATACCACTCATCTGCCATGTGAAGCCATCAACAATGGCTGATGGAGCCAGCAAGCCACTCCAGGCAGGATGGAGGAGCCAGATGTCCATGATGATTATGTCCAGGACAAGCTGGCCAAACAATGGCATGGGGAGCAAGAAAGCTTGACCGCCTACACTACTGACATTTGCCTCTACACTCAATGTGGGTACCCAGCCTTTGACAGCTCAGCACAGGAAGAGCTTATTCTCGAGGCCTCCCTCAGAGGACTTTGCCCAGAGTGACTCCAAGAACACATCTGCCTTTGTGCACCAACTACTCTAGTAGTGGCCCTGGCTGAAACAGAGCAGGCCGGGGGAATGTGGCATGCTCCATGAAGCTGGAGCACTGAGTGTGGCAGGCAGACATTGAGGAGACACCAGCGAGAAGGATGAGGCGGGTTGCCAGCTCACCGCTACAACACTGCCATGGCGAGGAAACAGGAGATCAGCTGTGTGACTCTAAGAGGAGTGCTACCGCTGTGGGATCCTGGGCCACATTACTCAGTAACAGTGCTGCAACAGCCAGCACCCTCAGACAACTCATCTACCCTCGACCCATCACAGCTGTGGGTCAGCCAACTGGGTCAGACACAGATTTTACCTGGACTGAACTGAATGGCACCAAATGCTGCCCCTTAGTGGACAAGGAGTCCACCATCTCCCTGGGGCACCTGCCAGGGACAAAAGGGCTGGAGCTGAGGCTGCAGCTTGGAGACTGGCTGGGGCTGCAGCGACGGTTTGGAGCATCCCTTCCTCCTGCGTTTCCTTTTCCTCAGCCCTCCAGGACAGATGGCCAACCACATTCCCAGAAAGGGTGAGGGCTTGGGATCAGGAGTGGACAGATCTAGATCAGGTTCAGGGTCCGGGGTGAGTGAGATCACCCCCAGCCTGATGGAAGAGTGGGCAGGTGGCACAGGGACTGCTCTCCTCCAGTACACTGGATTTACACATAAGTAGCTGTCT